AGGCCCAATCAATGGCCAGAGCTTTCTCATAGTGGTCGACGCTTATGGCAAGTGGCCCGAAGTGTTCCTCATGAGAAACACGAAAACCAGCGCAACCGTCTCTAGGTTGCGACAAATCTTCAGCAGGTTCGGCTGCCCTGAAACAATGGCGACGGACAAGCACGGACATGTTACAAATTTTTCTGCCGAACATTTTCAAATGCTGCTTCTTCAGCAACAATCCCAGATGGAAGCACAAATGAAACTGATTGAAAGTTTAACGCAGTACTTAAACGTACAATCAAACGGAGCAGCTACACGGAACACGCAGGCTGTTTCACTTGATCTTCTTAGGAATTCAATCACTGAATTTCATTATGATGCTGATTCCGAATGCACTTTCGAGGCGTGGTTCAAACGTTGGGAGGATATGTTCCAGACGGCTTTCAGTCGCCAAGATTATTCATGGAAAGTGCGTCTTTTGCTCGGCAAGCTCGGTACTAATGAACATACAAGCTTCCTTGACCACATATTGCCCAAAGAGCCGAAGGACATCACTTTCAACGAAGCAGTGGCAACACTCAGAAATTTTTGGTGAGTCGACATCTTTGTTTAGCATTCGCTATCAATGTCTAAAAATTGTTAAGCGTGATACAGACGATTATGGGGCACTAGCAGACATGGTTAACCGTGAGTGCGAACGTTTCAAGTTACGCTGTTTGACGGATGACCAGTTTAAGTGTCTTATATTTGTCAGTGCTTTACAGTCTCCACGCGACACGGAAATCCGCACTCGGCTTCTTGCTAATTTGGATCAAGACCCAGATTTGACATTGTAGTCTCTTGTAGGCGAATGCAAACGGTTAATTATCTTGACACACTGCACGGCTATGATTGAGCAGAGTCGCCCCACCATTGCCGATACTGTTCATGCTATGCAAAAGGCATGAAAGCCTGGCTCGAATAAGTCGTTCAATAGAAAGCCGAACAAGCCGCCTACACCTTGTTGGTCATGTGGTGAATGGCATTTCGCACGATACTGTCCATTCAAGCGTCATATTTGTGATAAGTGCCATAAATGCGGCCACAAGGAAGACTTTTGCCATCAGTCCCGGCCAAGAAATGTGAAGCAGTCCTACCGAAGGAAGAACTTCAGAAAACCTGACGCAGAATCACTATCGGTGATTGCTACGTTTCACAGCGATTCTAAAACACGTCGCCGATTTATCACTGTGCTTATCGACGGAATCCCACCTCCGTCGCCATTGTTAGATCTTCACTTATTTTCGCTATTCCGGATTAACCACCCAAAAATTTCTCCGCAAAAATTCTAGCCCAGCCGAAGAAAAATCAAAATCCCAACAGTCTTGACCACGAAAAACGTGTTAACAAAAAGCTCTGCCAACGTAGCCAGATAATGCCACCGAAAACACTGTCCTCTCAAATCTGAGGCAAAAGTGCAATTAGCTGGGTGTTGGAAAACGCATTCGTCCGCTCGATCGATTGCCTGATCGACAGCACGGGGTAGGCGATTCCCTTCAGCCCAGCTTTCAATCACCATTATATACTTTCCTTTTTTCTTTTATGTTTTTATCTGATTCCCGGATATGTTGAACGGACTGCGTCCGGATTGTCCTCTCGCTATTGGTTTCACCATCCGGAGACGTTGATGCGCCTATCACTGGTCAAGCTGGGGTAGGCATCGTTCTCAGCTCCAAGATAGTCATCGCTGGTTGATTGGATTTTGGTGAACAGTCGTTTGTCTGCAGCCCATTTGACAACGTCAACTAAAGTTAATTCACGAAGTAGTACTAGGCTAGACGCTATTTGTTTGTAGTTTCTTCTTATGCCCCCACCAACCACAGTTTCGATACTGCAAAGGACACCTACCAGAAACTGGTAACTACTTCGCAGCGTGCTTTATGTATATGAATGCGCAAGTAGGTCGTCTAGGCTCTTTAGAAGCTCTACTAGCTGGTAAGTATAACTTTAACTCCGAGCGGACGGACAACCGCGAATATCTGTTCCAATTATGCACGGAGCACCGGCTGTTCCTTAGTAATGCTGCTTTTAGGCACAGTGAGCACCGAAACGCCACTTGGCGTTCCCCAATAAAGGGGCAGGGATGGCCATCCTGGATTACCGCTCATTCTGGAATACCTGCGTCAACTCCGATCATGTTTTGGTTCGTTGTCATTTTTCTTTGATCTATATCAGGAGGTGTACGAGTGATAGACAGCAAGAATCTGATTTGTTCCTTAGAACAATAGATTGCAAGTTACTTTGGTCTGGCACCTACTGCGTATACTCGGCCACCACTTACCGAGGAGAGCTGATATTGTTGATGATTGTGAAGTTAAATGCTTTATGTCTGAAGGATGGCGTCACGTCGCTTCGAGATGCTGACGTGAGATGGCCAAAAATTGTGGTTGGCATGTTAACCAGAAGTGCTTTGTAAGCAAGCCATGTTGTTTGTCAGTTTTGTCTCAGCTATCGAACGACACACTCTTGGTAATTTGTTTCAAGGCCCTAGATACAGCGTGAGCATGAGGTTTGTCATTTCATTTCGTGGACCGCCCTTATGCTTTGGCGTTATTATGTACCTTTTTCACTGAGACGGAGAGCGGACGTCATTTAATGACAATGTGAATATTTCTAACGGCAGTAAAGGTAGGCCTTTTACTACCGAGATTTTGGTTGCTATTTGAATGCTATCTGCTCGTGGATGGGATAATAGTTTGATACATGCGATTCTTTTAGACTCATGTAGATGCTTGATAGTCACGCATTTGTCTTCTTGTGTCTGTAGTATCTAACATGCGAGTTTTAGTAGTGCAAGAAAATTTGAAATTAAATTTGGTGACACATATTAGGATGGTGGCTTTCGTTGTGGGACCACCGTCCACGGCGAGGTTTTAAATTTCATTGTATTGTTTCGCATTTCTCCTGTAGTGCCACTTCAGTTTTGTTGACTGCCGACGAATTGCTTTTCATTGATGATTTATGAGCCTCACGCATTTTTAGCAGTATATCCAAGCCGCCTCTCTTCATGTTATGTAACCCAAATTTCTTCCCTTTGGTAGCGTCTTTGACGCGGCGCTTATATCGCGCATCAATAGTATATGTGTTTACCTCGGACTTTCCAATCTGCAAGATATATGTGGACAAGCGTCAGTGCCATTTTGATGGCCTAGTTTTCGCTATGCAAAACACCTTAATACTGTCAAAATTTGTAAGAGAATTGCCATTAGATACGCAGACAGATTAATCTCGGTCTGGCACGTCGACTCTTTCAGTAGCTACTTTAACGCGTTGTTTCTTGTCATTGCTGTTGGTGCTATGGACTGTTTCCGCAATCCAGCCGGTCAGTTGGCTGAGGCTGACGTATCTCCCACGGATATATGCTTATAAGGAATAATGAAAATCACGTTAATAGCGCTAACTAATTATTTTCCCTGCGATTGTCCTGAAGAGATGTATACATAGAACTCTGCGTTGGATTATGGGTCTAAACCTTAGTGCATCGCAATCTGAGGTGCTTGCTTTCCGCTCGACGTGCCTCTTTGATTGACGATTCACCTATTCTCACCAACATAGTATGCATGTGAATTTGACACCTTTTCTAGGTCTTCTCATCCTCTACAGCTACATGAACCACCCGAATGCGACGGACACGCGTGGCAACATTATTGCGCTTTATATCTGTTTAAGATTCCACGGGAGTAGTTTGCAGCTGGATTAACATAAGAATGTGGGAACCCCCGACGGTGCCCTTGCGGCTTGTGTTTTATTTACTCTAAGCTTCGGCAGGCCACCTACTGTATCCTCATCTAATGTATGACAGGTTGTGGAACTTCACTCGTTCTCCCATCAGAGCGCATCTGTATGAACGTTTGCCCTTCCCTGATATGGGAGAAGCCACTCTTTCAAGAGAAAATTTTGCTCCAAATCCAGTGTGCTTGATCGCACCAGGGCTTTCGGAATATCGCTCGCATTGGGAGGGGGGCACCTGGTGAATAGTGCCAATTGTTGGACAGTGGTCATCCGATACCGCACTGGGTTGTCTGCTAAACGAACCGCTTGCTTTCACCTGGCCATGTGTTCCGAGTGCCTGTCAGTTTGTATTACTCGCCACAGTTACATGTAGTTGGTGGTATCGCAAGGTGACCTGTCAATGTGGCGGAAGACGTGAAGCAATTTTTGTGAAGCTAGCTTAGGTTGGTGCCTGCCTTCTCCATGGATGGGTCCTTAGAGCTTTTCTGTTCAGCTAATTGCGGACTTTATCCACAGTCGCTTATGTACATTAATCACTGACTCGAAACTGAAGTGTGAGAGTTCTAGCACTTTACCTGGTAGATGGAGTGCGCACCACTGACGATCACCTAATAAACGAAGCGACCGTCTGTTGCTTCTCTGGATACGCATTAGTTGTCTATTACACAACGCATGCAACGCTTGTTGCGACGACTACAGTCCCAGTGTATTTGCTTATTGTACTACAAATGCAGCGGGTTGCCTAAACCATAAAGTGACTTTCGTCAAATCAGGGTTTCAGTGTCAACGGAATGCACATTGTGATAAGGCCAGTAGACAACACCATCAGCTCCACCGATTTAATTATATTGCAGCGTTTTCAATTTGACCATTTCCTCGGCGAATACTTTTCAATAATTGGTCACTATCCTTTCTCCAACTTCCACATTCTGTTGTGCCTCACACATTAATCCATTTTCTTAGAGAGCAAATTCGCGCCGCACTTCGTTGCCGCTGTTCCATTGAGTGGGACGGATGTTAATCAAGCAGCACCGTTTATAATGCTTCGTTCAGTTCAGGATTTTGCTTTTTTACAATTTCACTTGTCTGTTCTGTAGTAATTTAGGTACTTTCATTTTCCAACTGTTATTTACAAGCGCAGATTTTAGCTTCCCTCTCCAAGATTTTGTCTAGACCAACCATTTTTCACTTTGTTTACCTTCCGATTTCAATCACACATTCTCGGTTTGCTGCTTTGTTCTCTTCAGTCTATTACCGGATCGTGCACTTCGCTGCCTGTACAATCTTACGAACACGCGACAATTGATCTCACAAAGGAATAAATTTGTCTCGACAGTCAACTCGTAGGTGCCAGATTTCTTCTGGTGGTGTGCTCAGTTTGCATTCACTTCCTCCAAACGATACTCCAACTGGATTCTGCTTGCTGTCCCCGCAACTTTGTCTGGATCTGTTTGCCATTTTACCCCGACGTCTTTTCGTTTCCACTTGCGATTAAACATTTTGTCATGCTTTTTATAGTTCACGCGACTGTCTCTTCCTTTTCGCTATCTTTTCATCACCCCCATATGCACCGTTAGATGCCGAGGGACAGCCGCATTACATCATAGTAAATTGCAACATCTTTCTGCCTTATGCTTGTGCATGTGTCTCTGTGTTGACTGTGGGCCCTGTGTTCACAGTGGACCACAGTCTTCTTTACTGGCATGTGCGAATTTCCTCATGTTGTCGCCACGATGGTTCGGTTACGATTTTCCTCAGTTAGTGTACCCGATGCCCACGAATTGCAATCGTGTGGCTGGTGGATGTGACATCGTCACGTCCGGGTGCTATAGCTCCACCAGCTGACTCGGTTGGGCGTGCCATCATTGCGCTTGATGTTATGCAGTATAGCAGCACAGTAGAATGGAACAACGGATAAAATAGCCAAGGCTTAACATGTCCCGTGGAATGATTTTGTGAATTATATAAGTTCAAAAAGAAGGCACTGGATTTTCATGACTTCTTCAAACCGACTTGAGGGAATGGTATTGTACCGGCATTCCGGTGTAGCTTGATGAATGCGGGCAATGAAATCATTTACACTTTCTCCGCATCGTTGCTGTAGCTTGAAAAACTTATAACGAGCGGAAAACACACTTTGTTGTATTCCCCACAATTCCTCAAACAACTGGATCACGTGCACAATACTGGTCTTAGCCATCAAGTTCATAGCGTCAAAATGACGTTGTCCTTCTGATCCAAGGGCTTGGCGGAATAACATAATCCAATGGGTATCGGATAACACGATAGAAGGGTTTAACACAGGAAAGAGAGTCATTTGATGTTGGAAAGATGTTTTCCACTGTATCCACGACTGTAGAGAGGGTTTTTCTGCACCATCAGGCCACAGGCATGACAGTCCCGCAAGAGGGCTCGTAGCAACCGTCGCCATTCTGATACGTATTACTCGAGTATTGCTGGTTTGCACCTGGACCCTTAGTCCGCGCAAGAAGTGAATAAGAACACACCGGATGGGACGTGCCAAAAACTGTAATGATGACCTGTAAGTTACACCAGATGAGTAAGTTGAAAAGGAACCAATCAGCACAAGGAAAAACAGTGGACGAATCAGCTATTGGTCAACCGATCTGCATGTGTCTGTGTGTTGCTCCTCGTTTTAGCAGAAGACACACATGTAACAGTGGAGATGACCAACAGCTGCTTGAAGAACGAATGATCCCAACCTTGAGCATGTGCTCAAACTCTTTCTTAGCAACCTGTAGTTTTTCAGGTGTAAGTGGTCGGGGTTTCGCCGTCTCGGATAGACCAGTTGTGGCGATGAGATGTTGCACTTCGTGCCTGCATTCTATCGCGTCGTGATTTACTCCAACAAGTGATGGAAAATATTACAACAATACGGAATACTGTGAGCAATCGGGCCTAAATACTCGAAGGCTGATGGAATTAATTGCAATCAACTTGCCGGAAGCAGTTAACGAAGTGGTATCATCACGCAACTTCCCACAACATAGATCTACTACAAGGCCAAATTTGCTAAGGAAGTCGACCGATGATAGGCTTCTGTAGGTCGGCGATCGTAAACATGAAGGAAAACTGAGACGCAGTCCAAGACTGAGTGTGGGGAGTTTCTGAACATAAGTCGCGATCTTCGTCTGGTTATCAGCCAGTGGCGTCATCCCAGTCGTCTGTGCCGAGCGTTTTCCGCACCGGTGGCAACCCAGAAGTGGAGTTTGGTCGTGGAATTGAATACGTATAGTAGGCATTACTGGCTGCTTTCAACGTTTCCTTAGTTGGAGTTGGTGAATGTCTTTGGGTGAGTACATCCTGGGCGGCAGTTTCGTGCAGCAACACTAAACTGGTAGGGAAACTAGCAATACGGGCACGATGATCGTCTGTGGGAGTTGCCGCGAAGTCCGTTTCTGGAGGAGGATTTTTAGTTTCGTATTCGACAGCTTTTAAGGTGAGAAATACTGAGCTCCACATTTGAGACTGTCTCATTAATGGGGTCGAGTGTGGCAGCCGCCGAAGTGTTTGCAGTGGATACCTCATCCACCTGATTCATTGCATGTTTAGAGAAACTTCGTGTACTTTGTAGCCGCTTCAGCCAGCTTATTCAATGAAAGTTCACCAGCCAAAACAGCTAGTGTTGCCGTCATGTTTGCTGGCAGACACTTAATCCAGAGTTGGCGAAGAATGGAACCATCTAAGGTTGATGAACCGATATGTGACCGTATGTGCCAGAGGGACTGAGACGGTGTACGATCACCAAGCTCTACGCCGGAGATTAGCTGTTGGAGGTGTGCCTCGTCGGATAAAATAGTGCGTTTTAAGATGAATGCTTTAAGCTCTTTATAAGGTGTCAGTCGGCATAGGCTCGAGGATATCGATGACTTCTGAAGGCACGTGTGTAGATAAATGGGCAGTACCACATGAATACATCGTGGACTGCGATGTGATGTTACGGAAACGAAAGATAACTTCCACTTGAATAAACTAGACACGTGGGTTGAGCACGTCGAAGGATGGGCAAAGAAAATGCGACGGAGTTTTCATAGAACTGTTCACAAAAAGGTTGATCAAACATAATGAAAAAATAAAGTGTTCCAAAAATCTATATGGGGTCACCGATTAGTGTAGTGATCCGTTATCTAAAGTGTTCTAAATCTAAGGCAAAATGTAATCATAGGCAAAAACACAGTGGAGGAACGATCAAGCACACTTGCGTTATAATCTTTCCTGTAATTACCGTTGTTAGATGCTGGCGAGCGATTCGAATACTAGCACAGGCAGCAGCAAACGAAAGCAGCATGACGCGAACGCGTTGGAGATCTTGTAATCGAAATTCGTGAATTTCAACAACTGGTACAAATTGGTCGGTAACGGGTGATAAGAGCAAAGAGAAAATATAGTGTAGCCACAACCGCTACAGCATCGCGATATGTTCCAATGTGCTACCAGAGTGGGTAAATTTTTAGCATTTTACAATAACCACTGCTGATGTACTTAAGCATTATCACTAAAAATGAAAAATTGCGTAACTAGAAGATGGTATTAAGAGTACAAATGTCATTCGAATATACGGTTCAAATCTGCATCCGGTTAATAGAACTGCCTCAACGTCCAGTTTGTCGATCCGGATTAATATTACTTAAGTTACAAAACGCCTTCTAGTAACTTAGCCAGTTGCGCGCGGTATCTCGTAGTCCATTGTCCAAAAGCTTGAAGTGACAGCATCGGTGAACTTGTAGCTAGTCGAATTGAAATAAATGTCAGAAGTCTCAGTGAAAACTGATAAATCCGCAGAAGACAAAGAGCGGTGTTTTAGCGGAAAGGCAACGGCCGATTTAAATGCCCCGCCATTTTGTGTGGTACATTGAGCGGATAATTGCTTCAGTAGTAAGACAACGGACGCAAATGGTTACAGTAGACAATGTTCTTACTTTTAACAGCCAGCACATCAGTTATCTTTTGTTGGAAAACCATTCCGTTAATGGTATTAGGACCTACTTCTTGCTTTTTGATAAGTTCTAGACCGTTGACACCTCAGCTTAGGAAGACCTGTTCTCACCAGCCGCTTCCTTTCATCCCTCTAGACACGCCTTCCCTCTTCACCATTGGAACATTTTCGTTTCCCTAATTTCTATTATATTCCTCATACTTATCAATTCTGTCTCTTCGGTCCACATATCGGAAATGCTAGTTGAATACCTAGTCACGTCTGACCAGTCCCTTGTCAGCTGTCAGTTTTCAGACCACTGATGCCTCTGCACACTGTGGTCCCTTTCGCACCGATACCTTCATTGCACACATCATGATGGGTTCCTACTCCTCATTACCATACGATATTCGTTTTTTGAACTTGTATCACATCGTTCATAGTAAGTAATTCTCTTTTGTTAGACAACGATTCGGCAAAGCGTGTCAGTACCTTAGTCATGTCTGCCCTATCTCTTGCTTTCTGAAACCTTCACGATCACTGACGTTTCAGCTTCGGATAGTCCGATCTCACTGACAGCTTTATAATTCTATAATCATGGGCTTCTCCTGTTCCGCTTCACTCTCATACCATGCACATTTTCTTCATTCTTTTTTTATATCCATCACGCTTACTGATTCCCTTCGGTCCACATATAGGAAATGACTGTCTTAACCATAACCGAGTCTGCTATGCTATAAATCTGACTTTTAGCACAATCCCACGATATAAACGTTGGGTACTTTGTTATTCTTCCCTGCTGCATGCATACACTGCAGTACCACTTCTCCCACAACCTAACCGTCGTTGCATAGGTACTTCTCATATATTTTCATATTTTATAGGCATATACATGGCGCTATATTAATTATGTGCTCACAAAATAAGTATTGCGTACCAGCATGGGCATCAATGAGGCAGTCCCTTTCCTTTCCTCCACTGCATGACGATGTAATCATTTTGTCGGCATTTCGTCCTCATCTCATCTCTACTGACCAGCATAGAAAGGATATCTGAAATCTCTTGGACTATCATCCGTTTCCGAATTGTTGAAGAACCCGGTTCACTTTATTATGAATACTGTCCTCCCGAACTAAATATTCCTGGATTATGGACAACTGGGTAAACCGTATTTATTTTCATGCAAATTACCGCGGAAATTTTCATTATTTCCAGTTAAAAAACCATGGAAATCCTGCCCACCTCGCCACTGAGGATTGCTGCAAACATTATGCCTCTCGGAGTGACATTCATTGTGGTCAGATCTATTGCGTTTAACCCTATCGGTATTAAGGAGATCACGTCAAGCAATGTGCATTTCTATCGACACCAGGGCGCTTTGCGATGCTCATCAAGCTGGTCGATAATTTCCAAAGCAAAAGCTGTCATCTTGTAGCAAAAATGAAGCGACAATGAAGCACAGTATTTATTTGCGCGATCACAAGCTATATCACCAACCACACAGGCGTAGAGTGATGAGTCATGTCTCTTTCCCCCGTAGCACCATCTATCCTGGCTTCTGATCGCGACGCGCCCATTCACTTTGTGTGTTTCGCCCCCGTAGTTCCGCTTCCACGAGTCCCATTCTGACCGAGTCGGACTCCTTCGATACTTCATGATTTGCTCCACTTGTGGTTGTTCTGAATGGATGAAATAACGGTGGTTTTGTCCGATTTA